ACTGCTAGGCCCTAATTTGACCACTAATTCCCTATACTGTCATAACAGAGACTTTTGGTCCGCAACATCAACCAGCTTTTTTTTTTTTTTCTTTTTTGAGATGGACTCTTTCTCTATCTCCCAGGCTGCAGTCAGTGGCGTCAGTGGCATCGTCTCCGCTCACTGAAACCTCCGCCTCCCGGGTTCAAATGATTCTCCCGCCTCAGCCTCCTGAGTAGCTGGGATTACAGGCACCTGCCACCACGCTTAGCTAATTTTTTTGTATTTTTAGTAGAAACGGTGTTTTACTGTATTGGCCAGGCTGGTCTCAAACTCCTGACCTTGTGATCTGCCTGCCTCAGTCTCCCAAAGTACTGGGATTACAGGCGTGAACCACTATGCCCAGCCCTGATATTAAATAATTATTTGGTATTGGTTTAGACATTTCCAGAACTCTTAAGTAATTAATGAGTTAATATTCTCCAGTTTAATAAAGTGTAATTGCCACTTGTTTTTCTTGTCAAAAGACTTGATAGGCCTGGCTGGTGTCTCATGCCTGTAATCTCAGCACTTTGGGAAGCCAAGGCTGCCAGATCATTTGAGCCCAGGAGTTTGAGAACAGCCTGGGCAACATGATGAAACACCTTCTCTACAAACAATACAAAAATTAGGCCAGGTGCAGTGGCTCATGCCTGTAATCCCAGCACTTTGGGAGGCTGAGGTGGGTGGATCACCTGAGGCCAGGAGTTCGAAACCAGCCTGGCCAACGTGGTGAAACCCCATCTCTACTAAATACAAAAATTAGCCAGGCATGATGGTGCACGCCTGTAACCCCAGTTACTCAGGAGGCTGAGACAGGAGAATCACTCAAACCCAGGAAGCAGAGGTTGCAGTGAGCCAAGATTGCGTCACTGCACTTCAGCCTGTGAGACAGAGGGAGACTGTCTCAGACAAAAAAAAAAAAAAAAAAAAAAGGAAAAATACAAAAACTAGCCAGCGTGGTGACACACACCTGTAGTCCCAGCTACTCAGGAAGCAGAGAGGTGGTAGGATCACTTGAGCCCACGAGTCAACACTGGAGCCATGACACTTTTATCCAGTTTGGGTGACAGAGCAAGATCCTATTTAAAAAAAAAAAAAAAGTCCAGGCGTGGTGGCTCACACCTGTAATCCCAGCACCTTGGTAGGCTAAGGCAGGTGGATCACAAGGTCAGGAGTTCCAGACCAGCTTGACCAACATGGTGAAACCCCTTCTCTACTAAAAATGCAAAATAATAGCCAGGAATGGTGGCAAGTGCCTGTAATCCCTGCTACTCAGGAGGCTGAGGGGAAAAAAAAATATATTAATAGCACTAGATTCAACACTACACATTCTAGTAGTAACCTTTAGTTGATCCTGAAAAGTTAGAGAAAACAGGCTGGGCAGGGTGGTTTACGCCTGTAATCCCAGCACTTTGGGAAGCTGAGGTGAGCAGATCACTTGAGGCCAGGAGTCGAAGACCAGCCTGGCCAACATGGTGAAACCCTGTCTCTAGCAAAAATATGAAAATCAGCTGTGCATAGTGGCACACACCTGTGGTCCCAGCTACTCCGGAGGCTGAGGCATGAGTATCTCTTGAACCTGGGAGGTGAAGATTGCAGTGAACAGGTATCACATCACTGTATTCCAGCCTGGGTGACAGAGTGTCTCGGTCTCAGAAAAATAAGAGAGAGAGAGATAAAATAGAAAAATAAAATATACTTGACTAAGAGAGTAACACTAAAGGCCAAGCTTAGGAGATCAATCTTTCTAGCCCCTGCAGGCTTTTTCAGTCAATACCTTAAAGTTTAACGTCCCTTTGAAAATGTTGCCAGGAGAAGCAGGCATAACTTGTTCTGTTACTCAACATGTCTGTTCCCAGTTACAGCATCATGATTATGCAAATAATCTTTTCTTGCAACCATGATCACATGCCAAATATAATTGTCGAGGTAGCAGTTTTCTCAGAATTTAAGAAGTAACTGCAGAGAAAATGCTCCACAGTGTCTTTGTAGTCAGTATTCCTCATTCTTATAGCTTTCAAATATGTGAGAGAAGATATTCCTCTTAAAATTCTGGGCATATAGCACTGGTATGACCCTATGTAGGTCACATCATAATACCTAAATATAAAAAAGTAAGGAATCTTTTTTTTTTTTTTTTTTTTTTTTTTTGAGACAGAGTTTCGCTCTTGTTACCCAGGCTGGAGTGCAATGGCGCGATCTCGGCTCACCACAACCTCCGCCTCCTGGGTTCAGGCAATTCTCCTGCCTCAGCCTCCTGAGTAGCTGGGATTACAGGCATGCGCCACGATGCCCAGCTAATTTTTTGTAATTTTAGTAGAGACGGGGTTTCACCATGTTGACCAGGATGGTCTCGATCTCTTGACCTCGTGATCCGCCCGCCTCAGCCTCCCAAAGTGCTGGGATTACAGGCTTGAGCCACCGCGCCCGGCTAAAAGTAAGGAATCTTAAGAACCCAGTTTTAAGTTCTTATAAAACTATTTTCCAGAAACTAAGACAAAAGCCTTCTATTTAAAACTATTTTAGGGCAGGCGAGGTGGCTCACACCCATAATCTCAGCAATTTGAGAGGCCGAGGCAGGTGGATCACGAGGTCAGGAGTTTGAGACCAGCCTGGCCAACATGGCGAAACCCCGTCTCTACCAAAAATATAAAAATTAGCCAGGCGTGGTGGCACATGCCTGTAATCCTAGCTACTAGGTGGACTGAGGCAGGAGGATTCCTTGAACCTGGGAGGTGGAGGTTGCAGTGAGCCAAGATCGTGCCAGTGCACTCCAGCCTGGGCAAAAGAGTGAGACTCTGTCTCAAAAAAACAAAAACAAAACAAAACAAAGATCACTTCTTTTACATTCTTACTATTCTTGCATATTGCTGATTTTAAAAATGCTTTCTAAAAGTTTCTCCAGCATTTCATTAGATAACATGTTGGTTACTCAGTCTCTATGTTTTATCTCTTTAGAAAATTTAAATGGTAAAAATTAACCATGTGTGGTAAAGTTCGAGAAGTACAGATCCAACTCTGATGCAGCTGAGGTTCCAGTCCTGGTTTTAAAGATGCTTGCTGAACATTACCCAATCAATCAGTCGTGTGATCTTGAGTAAGTCATTTAAGTTTCCTGGATTTGTTTTCACATCTGTTAAATAAGTTGGATGGGTGTGTTGATTTTCTAAGGACCCTTCCAGCCTAATATGCAAATGTTTTTTCCTTACAACAATTCAGAACAGAGATTATAAAGCTGGGCAGGGTCTGGATGAAAGTTCCAGGTAGGTCATTTGTAAATAAGCAGACAACCTTTGAATAAATTACATAACCTAACTAAGTGTCATCTGGAAAAAGAAAAAAAAGGGAATAAAAATACACCTAATAAGGTTTTTGTGATGTTAACTGAGTTAATGTACATATAAAATACTTAACAGAATACATGGCATATTTAATTACTTAGTAAATAAATCTATTATCTTTCTGTGTGGATTCACAAAACAATAATTACAGTTTCTTATTCTCAGTTTATCTGTAAAAGGGAGGTAGTAGAATCAGATGGAAATTCTGTTCAAACATTTAAGAGTCCATATTTATAACATAGAGCCAAAGATCAGAGGTTGGGGAAGAAAGGGGATACTCTCCACCAAGTAATCATTACCCTTCTCTTGAAGATCATCACAGGTATTTTACAATAAATTACAATCTTCCTGGCTCCATCGTGGTGCCCTACTTTTGTCTTGCAGAGAGTGTGACAGAACTTGTATTGGTTTTTGAATCCAGGGAAGAATTTAAATTAGTCGGGCGTGGTGGCCAGTGCCTGAATCCCAGCTACTCGGGAGGCTGAGACAGGAGAATTGCTTGAATCCAGCAGGCAAAGGTTGCAGTGAGCCAAGATCATCCCACTGCACTCCAGCCTGGGCAACAGAACGAGACTTACTCTCAAAACAAAACAAAACAAACAAAAACAAAAAAACAAGAGAAGAATCCACAGATTCATGCCTTTCACTAAGATTCAACACAACTGAAAAAAATAAAGGTCCCTCCCTTGTCTTCTCTCCATCCTCCACCATTCTGTACTTTCCCGACTGATTATTTCACCCGGAGTGTATAGAACTTTAGCACCATTAAAATATATCATTCGTTTCATTCCTAGTTTCAGTTAAAAACCTTAAGACTCTCTGGCAGTTACTTGGTAGTGGGATTCCTCGTGGCTTTTATTTTCCCCTCCTTCAAGTGATTACACAAAAAAAGCATGCATTGCTTGCCTGGCAAGCTAAACAAGAATCTAAAAATGAAATAAACCTGGCGAGACTACCAGCAATTTTAATAAGCATGTTCTTCTATAACTCCTTGATAAAGAATGGTGAGTAGGAGGGGGCTCACTACTGAATCCGTCCATTAAAGAAGTTCCTATAGATTGTAAAAGAAGCAAAGAAAGTTTCCATACAGAATTAAGATTAAAATGTTAAGACCCAAACTCTAGGGCTTGGATGAAACAGCATGAGGCAACAGAACACAGGAGTTGAGAGCTTCCGTGTGACTCCAGCTTAACCTGGAGCAACTGACTTACTTCTCAGAGCCTCAGTTTGCTTACCTGCAAAGTAGGGATAAGGATAACACCTACCTCCTAGCTCATCAAATTGTTCCAAGAATTAAATGCAACAAAAGGCCTAACGAATTTCCTCATAAGGGCTCAATAAATCATTATTACTGCAACCATTTCGCCTGATCCTTAAGTGTGAAGAGCCTGGAAAAAAAAACCCGAAGGGCCCCTACGACGAGCCGGGAATTTTCTGATATATTCCTCCGAGTCAATGCTCGGTGAAATCAGTTACTCAGTGTCCGGACAACGTGCGGTTGACACAGCTTATCCCCCTACCCTGAGGTCAGGGGTCCCCGGAGCCCAAGGGCGTTTCCAAAGCTCTGCGAGGCGGAGGTGAGGCCCGGGCTGGTCCAGCTCGGCCACCGTTGTTATGGCAACCGCCAAGAAACGGGGACTTCGTCTCTTCGGGCTAAACCGACAGTTTGCAAAGGAGGGGTCAATGGAAGGGCCCCAAGGTGGCCAGCACAGGCCCCTCGGCGACTTCCCAGGTCGCACTCTCCAACAAAACTACCACCGGGCCGGCCGAACCAGCCGCCACGCCCCACTCCCCAGGCCTTTCCGGCCGCTGCGCCCTTTAACCCCGGAAGTGGGCGGGAGAGGAAAAGGCTGGTGATGTTGGAACAAACATGGCTGCTCTGGCGCCCCTCGGCTCTACCGGCTCTCGCCGTCCTCGGCTGGCCGCGGGCCTCCGGCTGCTCCCGATGCTGGGGTTGCTGCAGTTGCTGGCCGAGCCTGGCCTGGGCCGCGTGCATCACCTGGCACTCAAGGTAAAGCCTGGCACGGCCGGGCCGGGCCGGGGGGCGGAGGCCGAGGCCACTCCCCCGGGTTTTAGGGCAACTTTGGCCCATTGGGGACCTATGAGCCATTGGACCACGTCTTTGGCCCTGACCGCAGCCTTTCTCTGAGAAGTGGTGGGGGCTGTGGGGAAGGCGAGCCTGGGCGGCGCTGGGGTCCTCGGGCTAACTGGCAGGGGCGGGAAGATTCGAGCTGAGGGAGGGGAGGGGGCTGAACTGCGGCTTTAACCCCACGGACTCGGGAGGCTGCTCTTCAAGCCCTGCTGGCTTCCCTGAGTCCCTCTCCCAAGGCGGCCTGCTCGTTCTTCTGCTCTCTCCCCTCCAACTTTTGTGCCGGCCTTCATTGTCCGCGGTCTGCGCTCTTCCTGTGCCCTTGTGCTGTATCTGCGGTTTGAAGGTAGTTGGAATCTTAGTCTCAGTTTCCCATTTTGGTTTAGGGCGCGCTCTGGAGTGAAAATCTTCAGAAGGAATTTCAAATCTTGCTTAAAACACGTGACTGAGAATTTAAAGCCAGCATTAAAAATGTGCCTCTAATTAAGGGGTCTGCTTTTTCTTCCTCTGTCCCGTCATTGTCTAGGGAGGAGAGATTTTTCGGTAAACCTACAATGACCGCCTGGATCTTGCTTTATAACTAGCAGAGAAAAGACCTCTAAGCCTGAAATGCGCCCTAAAGTGGTTCAGCAGGTTAATAAATCCGGGAAATTGGCCAGGTACTGTCTCATGCCTGTAATGGCAACACTGGGAGGCCTAGGCAGGAGGATTGTTTGAGCCCAGGGGTTCAAGACCCGCCTAGTCAACATGGTAAGGACCCCTCCCCAACCCCTAATCTACAAAAATTAAAAATTTACCAGGTGTGGTGGCACATTTCTGCAGCTTCTGGGGAGGCTGAGGCAGGAGGGTCACTTGAGCCCAGGAGGTTGAGACTACAGTGAACTGTGATCACTCATTGCACTCCAGCCTGAGTGACAGCAAGACTCTGTCTCAAAATGTATAAACAGAAAATTAGAGGAATAGAAAAGTAAATTGTTACGACCCAAACTCTTGAACGTTGTTTTCATACCATACAGTCTTCTAAGAAGTGGAACTGGGCCGGGCGCGGTGGCTCAAGCCTGTAATCCCAGCACTTTGGGAGGCTGAGGCGGGTGGATCACGAGGTCAAGAGATCGAGACCATCCTGGTCAACATGGTGAAACCCTGTCTCTACTAAAAATACTAAAAATTAGCTGGGCATGGTGGCGTGTGCCTGTAATCCCAGCTACTCAGGAGGCTGAGGCAGGAGAATTGCCTGAACCCAGGAGGCAGAGGTTGTGGTGAGCCGAGATCGTGCCATTGCACTCCAGCCTGGGCAACAAGAGCGAAACTCCGTCTCAAAAAAAAGAAAAAAAGAAGTGGAACTGTAGAGTTTGTCTTGTAAAAACACATTGTTATAGCAAACTATAAAGCTAAATGGTTTAATTAGCTTCATACTACTAAATTCTACATTAATAGTAAAATTTACTATCGAATGAATTTTAAAGCCTGGCTTGGCCAGGCATGGTAGCTCAAGCCTAAGCCTGTAATCCCAGCACTCTGGGAGGCTGAGGCAGGCAAATCACCTGAGGTCAGGAGTTTGAGACCAGCTTTGCCAACATGGCGAAACCACCCCTCTACTAAAAATACAATTATTAGCCAGGTGTGGTGGCACACACCTGTAGTCCCTGCTACTTGGGAGGCTGAGACAGAAGAATTGCTTCAACCTGGGAGGCTGAGGTTGCAGTGAGCCGAGATCATGCCACTGCATTCCAGCCTGGGTGAAAATGATACTCTGTCTCAAGAAAAGTGAAAAAAAATAAATACTAGCCTGACTAGATCCATACAACCGTACTTTTTTTTTTTAAAGACAGGGTTTCACCATGTAGGTCAGGCTGGTCTTGAACTCCCAACCTCAGGTGATCCGCCTGCCTTGGCCTCCAAAGTGCTTGTATTACAGGCTTGAGCCACCACACCCAGCCACAACCATACTATTTGACATCAACTTTTGTTGTTTGTAAGTAAAAATTATCCTGATTGAAATGGTTCAATCATGGGGGTGGGGCAGATGAATTTTGGTTCTTTTTGAGAATCTGTGAGAGCTATAGAACCTCTCTCCGGAAAAGTGCATGTAGAAATGTAGACAAAACTTGGCTGGGCACGGTGGCTCATGCCTGTAATCCTAACACTTTGGGAGGCCGAGGTAGGTGGATCACTTGAGGTCAGGAGTTCTAGACCATCCTGGCCAACATGGTGAAACCACGTCTCTACTAAAAATACAAAAATTAGCTGTGCGTGGTGGCTGGTGCCTGTAATCGCAGCTACTTAGGAGTCTGAGGCAGGAGAATTGCTTGAAGAACCCAGGAGACAGAGGTTGCAGTGAGCTGAGATCATGCCACTGTACTCCAGCCACCTGGGCGACAGAGCGAGACTCCATCTCAGAAAAATAAATAAATAAATAAATAAATAAATAAAATAAATGGCAGATGCAGTGACTCACACCTGTAATCCTAACATTTTGGGAGGCGGAGCCAGGAGGATTGCCTGAGCTCAGGAGTTTGAGACCAGCCTGGGTAACATAGTGAAACCCCGTCTCTACTAAAATACAAAAAATTAGCCAGGCATGGCAGCTTGTGCTTGTAATCCCAGCTACAGGGGAGGCTGAGGCAAGAGAATCGCTGGAACCCAGGAAGCAGAGGTTGCCCCTGTTGATGACCACTGCTTACTTTCCTTTGTTCATTAGATTTATTGTGATTTAGTGATGCTGTTTGGTGTCAAAGGATAAGACTGTTAAAGTATATATTTTATTTTTATTTTATTTTTTGAGACAGGGTCTCATTCTGTTGCTCGGGCCGGAATGTAGTGATGTGAACACGGATCACTGCAGCCTCAACTTCCTGGGCTTAAGCAGTCTTCTTGCCTTATTCTCCTGAGTGGTTGGGACCACCTGCCACCATGCCTGGCTAATTTTTAAATTTTTTGTAGAGACAGAGTCTCACCATGTTGTTCAGGCTGGTCTCAAACTCCTGGCTTCAAGTTATCCTCCTGCATGGCCTCCCAAGTTGCTGGGATTACAGGCATGAGCGATAGCACCTGGCTGAGTTATATTTTTTATTGTACAGTAGATCTTGTTATATTTCTCTCAGGTGGCACACAAGACAAAAGAAGTGTATAAAGTGCAAACAAGTGTCACTCCTTAGGCATTCACATGCTCAGGTAACATTTATGGGTTGCTTACATTAGGCACATTTCACTCCCACAGAGGTGAACTGTGCGTAATATAAGCAGCCTAAGGCAGCAAAGAAAACAGATAAGCTCTTCCACATTCTGAGTACAGTCTAGAATCTCCTCTGTTGATGGGAATTTTTCTTAAGTATCTTACTCTTCTTGACTTCTTAGATTTAAGATATAGAATGTAATTTAGCCATTTCTGGATGACAGGTGGTTAACATATTCTTACTCATGACTTTTAACGTGGGAATATTTACATGGTCATTGATAATATTTTTTTTTTTTTTTTTTTTTTTTTTTGAGACGGAGTTTCGCTCTTGTTACCCAGGCTGGAGTGCAATGGCACGATCTCGGCTCACCGCAACCTCCGCCTCCTGGGTTCAGGCAATTCTCCTGCCTCAGCCTCCTGAGTAGCTGGGATTATAGGCACACGCCACCATGCCCAGCTAATTTTTTGTATTTTTAGTAGAGACGGGGTTTCACCATGTTGACCAGGTTGGTCTCGATCTCTCGACCTTGTGATCCACCCGCCTCGGCCTCCCAGAGTGCTGGGATTACAGGCTTGAGCCACCGCGCCCGGCGATAATATTTTAATAGTCATTTTCTAATCCATTTCTTCTTAATGGAATAAAAATGATAATTTGGGTTTTTCATTTTAGAGATGGGGGTCTCACTGTGTTGCGCAGGCTGGAGTACAGTGCCAACATAGCACACTATAGCCTCGAGCCCCTGGGCTCAAGCTGTCTTCCTGTTTCAGCCTCCAGAGTAGCTGAGACTACAGATGCTTGCCACTGTACTCAGCTAGTCTGAGTTTTATGTCAAAAACTGTCTGAATATAGTTTAATTAATTAATTAATTTTTTAAGACAGGGTTTCACCATGTTGGTCAGGCTGGTCTTGAACTCCTGACCTCAGGTGATCCTCCCACCTTGGCCTCCAAAGTGCTTGGATTACAGGCATGAGCCACCTCGCCCAGCCCTGAATATGGTTTTTATATTGTGTTTAAAAACCAAATACTTTGATGACTGATCATTCTAGCTTTCAGGTAGGTGATGAGGATGAGCAAGTGAACAGGAGTTACTTTGCTGAAGTCTCAGAAATTTGGGTTGGATTTGGGTATTTCTTGGGTTGGATACTTTTATGACAGTTATCCACAAATCATAACTCAAATGCTCTAGACTTTATGCCAGCAGCTTAGCAAGCTATGTAAAGAGCAGAACTTGGGAATAGCCAGATCAGCAGTCCTCACTGCTGTTGAGTGCTGTGTAACTTTTGGCCAGTCACATTAGAAGCCTTCCTCGCTCATGGGATCTAGACTAAAAGATGTTGGATGAAAGATAAGTTAAAGCAGAACATCACACAAAAGGAATATGTACCTGAAACTTTATTTCGACTTAAAATTTGCCAATATACATTCATTGACTTGAATGAATGACCTGTTAAGCTTACTGGATGACTCTGCAACACGTGCCTTCCGTCTGTCTTACTCATTCAACAAATACTCTTCCGACATCTTTTATATCCTAGGTGGGCACTTCTAGACACTGGCTGAGTCAGTGAGCAGGACTAAGCCCCTACATGGAGTTTTCATTCTAGTGGTAATGGACAGCAAGCTTTTTTTTTTTGAGGTGGAGTCTCACTTTGTCACCCAGACTGTAGTGCAATGGCGTGATCTCAGCTCACTGCAATGTTTGCATCCTGGTTTCAAGGGATTCTCCTGCCTGAGCCTCCTGA